CGTCCTCCTTGCCCGTAATTAGCTGTTCCGGGTGGAAGAGCTGACGGTAAGTGCCAGTACGGACTTCGTCAACAACAGTAGGTTCCAGATCGACAAAAACAGCACGCGGTACGTGTTTGCCAGACCCGGTCTCACTAAAGAAGGTGTTAAATGAATCATCCTCAGCTCCCATGGACTTGTCTCCAGGCAAAAGTCCATCGGGCTGAATACCATGCTCTAAGCAGTACAATTCCCAGCAGGCATTGCCCATCTGAACACCAGCTTGACCAACATGTAGGCTAATGCATTCACGCTACAAGTAGAGAAGGTTAATAATGAGATAATGTAACACGTACCATCCTGAGCTAAAAGACAAACGGAAGAAGCTAAGAAAGTGAACTGGCGCGTGTACGCGACAATTTATAATCGTGCCTGAAGGTCACAATCCAATTGGTTAATTGCATTATCGTTTAGCCAATAATTAAAGGACTTTTCAAAAGTTAAAATATCGCTTAAAATTTTTACCTTGGTCAATTAAAACTTAAAGTCTCAGATTTTAAATCATGCACTATTAAAAATAAGTTTTTATTTTATTAATTTTAGTTTTAATTTTTAGTGTGTCATCATTTTGACTTATTGAGGCTAAACAGTGTCATTATTTATTTATTTATTTCAAATGGCAGGCGTTTTGATACTTATCATTATCCCATTAACCCTTCACTTATAGTAATCTTGAAAACTCAAAATTCTTCACCTTTCATTTCTTCTTGAAGTAGATTACTTTAACCACCCTTCATTATCAATCTAATTGCATCTACTGTTTGAACTATTTCACTAAATATTTTAACTTTTTATTTAATACTGCAGCCTACTATTTGATCAAATGCATTTGCATAAATTCTTATCACTAGAATTGCCTTAGAAGTCTTATCAAGTCAAATTATTAAACCCAGCGAGAAGAGCAGATGGAAAAGACTTAATTTGTTCTTGCTTAAATATCTGCATTCTGTTAAGAAGTCGTTTAGTCGTGCATAACTTATTGATTTGAGAAAGTAGTTTATTATTAAAAGTTAAAACCAATATTTTTTGTATTTTTTAATAATTTCATTTTTTTGGTTCTTGCAGTTGGGAGAGATTTGGTATATTCAAGCTCATTTAGAACCCTATTATGGGGTCTGCTTGGAGTTTAGCTATATGGAATTTTGGATCTTCAGGTTACAGCGCATCACCCACTTAATTCTCAAGATTAAAACTGGAACGAGAAGGTTTTCAAGGATGCATAATTTTGTTTTTGAATTAATTGATTTAAATATGTTGAAGGGGCTTACTTTCTATGATGAAATCCAATAATTCCAAGCATTATTCAACAGCTCCTTAAAATTGTTCAGGTTTCCATTTCTGCAGCTTGCCTTAATTTCGTTTAAGATAACTTCTTCTATGCTCATTTTATTGTTATAAGATTTTCATTTTTAAATTTAAATGCGTGCAAACCTATTTTTCTGCCTGGACAGTAAACAAGGTATTATCAAGAATTTTTTTATGGAAAACAATAAGGTACACTAGTGTAGCCCTAAAATTCTGCAAAGTGGCAAGTGTCGCCATGAGTACAGTGACTTCTTAGCCAATCAATAATCACTGCATGTTCAACGTAACCAGGACCGCATTTCCCTAACTTAGTTGCGCGACACTGATACACAACGCTACTCTTTCCATACTCTCTATTTCCTCGATATTGTCGAGGTAACTTAGCTAATATCGGGAGCAATTTCGTACTAGGGGTTGTTCAGGTTTAGTTAGTGCTTATTTGTGTGCCTTCTACTACAGCATCACGATGACAACTTGCTAAGTCTTATTACATATAAGCGGCTTATAAAAAAACATTATCAACCAACCTGCATAACAATGAAACTTTGCAGGATCAGCCATCACTTTTGCATCTCATGAATGTTGACATATTAGGCGAAAAGTAGATGCTCCAGATTAGAAAAAAATAGACTCGAACTGGCTGATTTTCTTAATCATTTCGAGTGTACGCACTTTTGAAGTTTAATTGTCTTTCTGCAGCTACAATTGCTATCTCATTTCCCGAATTTCGGTGCTCGACAAAAGATGGCCTTCTAGTCACCTTTTGGCCTTCAGGAATGCCTTGGTTTAACTCATTCAACAATTAATGATATTTTGCCTGGTTTTGAAGCTCACTAAATGGTATTAAGCATAACATGCTAAACTGGATTAAAGCATTTATTGGACAAAGATCGTGTAAAGTCAAATACGGAAATGCTCTATCAAAATCCAATCTTTTACAGGGCTGCGCAGGGAGCTGTCACAAGCTGCACTCTTTTCAATGTCTTATAGGATCCAATCTTTTACAAACAGGCCTTCCACAGGGAGCTGTCCCAAGCTGCCTTACAAACAGGCCTTCCACAGGGAGCTGTCACAAGCTGCAGTCAATGTTTCCACAGGGAGCTGTCACAACCTGCACTCTTTTCAATGTTGACAGGGAGCTGTCACAAGCTGCACTCTTTTCAATGTCTTCATCGATGCTCATCATTGACATAGCCGAATTGGTACAGACAGTCACGGGCGTTAAGTGTTTACTTTATGCAGATGATCTTGTTCTATGGTATTTTGCTTACTTTATGCAGATGATCTGGTACTATGGTATTCCGGGCTTACTTTATGCAGATGATCTTGTTCTATGGTATTCCGCCTACTTTACGCAGATGATCTGGTACTATGGTATTCCGCCCCCAAGGAAAAATGCTAAGGAGAGGACAAAAAGTGCTCTTAATAGTGCACTTAAACTACTAGCAAACTTGTGCGACAACAATGGAATGGTAATTAACACCGCAAAAAAATCGCTCTTAATAGTGCACTTAAACTACTAGCAAACTGGTGCGACAACATGAGTGCACTTAAACTACTAGCAAACTGGTGCGACAACAATGTACTGGTAATTAACAGCTACTGCATTCCAAACATTTCCTCTCCCTCGTCTTAGCATAAACCCGCCTGCATTTCAAACTTTTTCTTTGGCCCGTCACAGCATAAACACACTTCTAAGGTACAAGGATACTACCATAGAAAAAACCAATGAGCTCACTTTTCTCAGAATGACTTTTGACACAAAGATAACGAAGAAAAGTCACATCGCTAAAATTGCAGAATGAGTCTCCAATAGACTGAATTCACTGAAGCGTCTTGTTGGTAGCGTATGGGGCTGTGCACGCTCAACTCTCAACACCACTTACAAGATGTTTATTCAGCCAATAATGTTGTATTGCTGTGAGCCACTCATTACAGCCACAGAGGTGACTCTCAAACCACTCGAGAAGGCACACAACAAAGCATCACGACTAATTACTGGAGGGATAAAATCAACACCCATTGATGCAATGCTTCTGGGTACAGGAAGCACCACAATAGGTTCCCTTATCAAAGAAAAGACCTTGATCCTGTATGAGAAGCTACTGC